TGCAGGATAGAAAATTAAATTTACACTATATAATTTTTTACTACCTTGGTTTTGTATTTCCTACCAGTTTGATGTAACTTTTGCATCTAAAATGTGATTTAGTCCTGTGAGGTACCATTTGTTATAAAGACTTTACACTGAATGGTCATGTTTTTTTTAAAAAATAAGACAAATATTTAAAAGTATGCAAATACTTCTTAACAGAAAGCAAAGCCTTGAACAAGAATTACAGGATTAAGTTTGTCTCATGTTTTTCTAGCTGTAAGCTAAATAAAAAATAACTCCATTTTACAAAGTAGTATAACATGCAGCAGTATATTTAATTTTTTTGTTCCAAGCACAGATATTTCTCCATGCATTATTTATAACCACTGGTATTGTAATTTCCCATTTTTTTTTGGAAGTTGCTGTTGAAATGCAAAAATTTCTTCTCACAATTTTGAAAGGTACAACTGGAGTTTTATTTTCAGCAGGTTGTGTTTCTTAGGTAAACTGACTTTTCCTTGGTCCAGCAGAAATCTGAATACAATATCAGAACTGGGTCTTGGCTAATCTTGGTTTGACCTGACCTTTTCAAAGAATTGTGTTTGTCACCATTTTCTTCTTCCCCTCTGGGTGGAAAAGGCCTTCTCTGGCATGCAGAATACCTGCAGGCTTTTGAAAGAACAATTATTTTAAAGCCATGAGGTTTATCTAAAAGGCAGTGAAAATTCAGTTCTACCTCCCTGCACAGCCTAGAAGACTGTTTACTCTTGGAATTTCCAGGTGTGATGCTTTTGTGTTTGAAAGCACAGAGGATTTTGGTGGTGAGGGAATTCAGGTTGTCTAATGGGGATCCCTGGGGTTGTAGTGATTTGTTTGAGAATCACCTGCAGTGTCCATGAGTATCAGAGGGATTCAGATGATGCTGAATTCCTTGTCTCTGATGACTTTCAAGAAACACAATTTGTGAGGGAGTTGTTTTCCCCTGGTGACAAGTTCCTCTCAATGGAATATGTGTGTGTGCAGGGAACATCTCTCACTTCACTCTGGTATTCTTGAAGAGCCCAAACCAGAGGCAGCTTCTGAGATTTAAATTTCTCTTTTCTGTGACTGATTTTGCAGGGCTACAGAATTTCACCAGAGTCTTCATGTTGCCCTTAAAGATCATTAAATAATGTTATGATTTTAGATATTTTCACTAAGGCTTCATGCATGTTTAAATGAAAATATGTGTAAGTGGGAAGGGAAAATTGCTAAGGAAGTAAGGAACCAACATTTTATTAATTTTTAATTAATCACTTCAGTCTTAATATAACATTAATTAAATGCAGCAAGGTTTAGTCACTCTACCTCATAAGATTTCATGGTGTAGCTTTAATCAGGTAATGAAATGATCACATTGTATAAATAGGCAAATACATCACATCAGTGGTGTGTAACATTCAGGCTATTTAAACCACAACTACTCTCCATCTATAGCATATTATCACCACCACATTTAGATTTTCTTTCCTTACACAGAGAAAGAATGAATCAATGAATATAATTTAGAATAATTTTTATGCACGCACTTGAATCATGTCAGTTTGATAAGGCTCAAAATGGGGGAAATGCTGTGCATTTAACTATTATGTATTTGTTTTGCTCTATGATATGGAGCAAGACAGAAATATTAGATACCTTGCTTGCCTTCAGTTGGTTTGAAAAGCACTTTGAGGTCTCCAGGGCAAATTGCCATCTTAAATCTCCCTAATAATTTCTTAAAGAGCTGATTTGCATTAATAGCAATATGTATAATCAATCAATAAAGACAGAGCAGAACAGGATATTTATAGCCAAACCTGACAGTCAGCTGGGAGAAAACAGAGAAGTATGCTTGCCATAGAATTGATGCAATTCCTAGGAACTCCATGGGTTTTTTAATAGCCTTTGACAGTCATCTATTAATATTTTTTTAAGAACCATCAAGCCTTCTGCCTAATGATCTGTTTGCTAGAGTGTGGCAGGTGTTTATGGATGAGAGACACAGACCAGTGAGTCCTTTGCTGTGCAGCTTCTCTGGCCTTTACTACCTGTTGTTGATTTACATATTTACAGTAATAAATATGTTAATCTCTTGATTTCTGCATTTTTACAAGATCTGTGGTGAATTAAATAAATTCTGTAGCTCTTCCTTTAGACAATTTTACTTCCTCTAGATGGTCTCATGCCTCAGGTCCTTAATTGCACCAGTCCCTGGCATAGGTGGTGATTCAGCTCAGAAATAGAGATCAATTATTCTTGAAGAATAAGCTTTCTTGTTGTAGCTCTGAAGCTGGGATCACTGACATACTGTAAGAATAACTGTTCGTTCTTTACTTGCCATGTTGAAAGCTCCTTAGATGTTTTAATTCATTTTCAAAAGGTGATAATATTCTAAGTGAAACTGGAGTCAAGCAAAGAAAAGTAGTAACCAGAACTAACTAATAAGATCTGCAATGAAGTCCCATTTGATTGTACTTCAGATCTATTTTAGAATGTTAACTCAAATTAAATGTATTTGATTGGCCATATGGTACTCTTCATTTTCTCAGATTTGTAACATAAACCTGTAAGGTGCTGCTAAAACCCAAAATGAACTCCAGAGAAATAAAATTATTCAGTTATAAATAGCATGTGAATCCTTGCACTGACACCAAGCACTCCTTGATTCCTGGCTCACCAGTGGCTTAGTTTGCCTCCAATCTAAGGGAGAGCTTGACTGACACAGTGAAGTCCAGCCTGAGTGCTCTAAATACAGCCAGTCTGTGTTTTTCTTGTAAGGCTAACCAGCTGAAGAAATACAGTTTGGCTACTCTACAAACGGGAGTTAGTTGTGTGTTGCTAATAGTTTATTCTAGATACGTTTTTAAAGGGTTTTTAAAATTAATTTTATTCATTTTATTAATAGTGGAGCATTATTATTCTTTAAGTCTGTTAGTCTGGGGAAACATTTAATTTGTTTAATGAATGCAAAACACACTACATGAACTTTGCAGTCGTTACCAAGAAGTTGAAGAATGCTGGTGTTGTAGAGTCTGCACTACAATAAAAACAGATTGGAGGAGCACAGCATCTTGCATGTAGAGCATTCTCCTGTATTGCTGCTGGGTTAAGTATTTATTGTTGGGCTTGTGTGTGAGAACAGTGCAAGTGGAATAAAGCAGTTAAACTCTTAAAATGCTGTACTATTGAATTGAACATTGCTGTCATAAAAATATTAATCCTATACTGTCAAGAATGGTGATAAAAAACCCCAAACCACCATATTTTATAGTCCTCTTAACCAAAGCTGTAAACATTTCATATATAAACTTCCATGCATAAGAAAAGCTAAATTTCGTGGTTGCTGTAGGAAGACATCTCTTCAGCTCCTGGTAGGCTGGTAGAAATGGGAGTTGATGGATATTCAGAATTAACTGTCAAAAGCTGTATTCACAATTTCACATCATTCGGTGAGTGTTTAGGCATTAAAGGAAGAACAGGATACTCATCATTTATGAAACTTGACCAGCTGTGGTGGGCAGTGTGACGTGAGGAGAGTCTGATCTGTGCTGCAGTGAAGAACACTGGGTGATCCTTAAATGCCTTATAATTCCTGGAAGGAGCAGTGGATCTTGTACACAGATATATGCATAAACTCATAACCATGGCTTTTTTTCCTGGGTGTGTGCTGTGCAGTGAGTTTGAGTGGGAAAGACTGTTAAGACTTATTAAAAACACCTTTTCCAATGAATTTGTTGTTTGGGTTTCTGCGTTTTCTGTTAGAACTTTTTGGACAGGCCTTGAACAACTATGACTGTATATAAGAATGGCAGGAGCAGAAATACTTAACAGATGAAAACAAGAAAGGAGTAATACAGGAGTAAACCTTTCAAAATTACTTATGAAATGGAAGCTATTTCTTGAAGGTATTTTAAAATAATTTTCTGTGAGACTCTGCAGCCTTTATTTAAACTGTGTAATATGCAATTGCATTATTCACAGCACTGAAATGAAACTGTGAAGCAATAATTATGCTAATTTTGAAATGGGAAAATACCGAGATTTATCTCTGTCTAACATTTTCCTGATAACCTCAGAGACTTTAATATACAGAATTTGCTGTATTTTTGTGTTAAAGTAGAATCTTAGGCTATTCTTCTAGAAAACCTGTAATTTTGTAGGTAGAGGTGAGGAAGTTACGTTATACTATATAAACTGTTAGCTAAATGCAAATAATCTCCAATACTTCAATTTCCTAATATTCTTGAACAGAAACCTAAGTAGCTTATTTGCTGTAATAGATGTTGAAAGCCTTTACACCTACTGTTTATTAAGTTTTTAATTACCTGGTAGATTTAAAAGCTACACAAGTCTGTGGCACTCAGTCTGGGCTTGATTTCCAGTTTCCATATTTATTACAGTTCTGTTGCTAAGATTTCACCATTAAATACTTATGTGAAAGAAATAAAAAGATTTCACTGGCTAGAATTTTTTAAGAAACCTACACAGAAAATGTGTATTATTTACACAGAAGACGTGTATTGGGTATCTTTAGCCTTTTAATTGTGTTTTTCTCTTAAGCCCCACTTTGTGGGAAATTCTTTACATTGCCAATTTGTACAATTCTGTACACAGCATTTCACAGACATATCATAGATTGAATATGACAGTCCCATACAGCTTTTTCTTGGGGCAGAGCATGCTATTAACTGCATAGGAGCCATTAAAGATCTCAAAATCTTCCAAAAGGCACCACCATGATGCCTTTTAATCTTCTGGGCAGCATGAGGCATTCTGTGTGCCTTAACTCTTCTCTTGCCTCTCCTCTCACCTCAGATAAGAATTTCCTTTTCCTCTGAAAGACTCAGCCATGTGGCAGCAAAACTTCACTCTCTTCCATGTTGAAGTTGCTTCAACCCAAAAATTGCTGTTTAAATGAGATATTGCTACAAGTCTTCAAGAGCCTGACTGCAAATAATTAAGTAGAGTTTTGATTTGTGTTTGGTTTTTTTCAGATCCAGAGCTTGAACTGTGTGGAAAAGGCTAGATGTCCAGAATCCAATGTGAGTTCTGTGCAGATACAGGGAGATTCAGATTATTTCATCAACCACCTCGGAGTACCTGCCACGCAGTTTTCCTATGAGGACATCAAAGCATCAGAGGTAGTTATGACAAACTGAAAATAGCAGCAAGATAAAATTATGTTTTCTCAGGTTATATCCTGTACCAGTGGAATTTTATCTAAGTACATTTTTTTAGGTATTTAGAGGATTACCACAGATCTTCAAAGTGGCTTTTTTCTAGGGATATTGTATTCAAAGAAACAGCTACACATTGAGGGATGTTGTGTTAAAATGTTAATATTGATGATAATTTTGTAGGCTACATGTTATCTAAGCCAACTTTTGAGACTGTTTTCAACAGAGAGGAAACAGGTATTGATGTGTATTTTTTTACTGCACAGTAGGATGTGAGAATCTTCAAAATGAGCTCTATATCCATTTTCATATCATGAGAAAAATAAGATTCTCTAGGATAACCATTGGTCGTAAGGATCTGTATGCTTGATTGGAGTCTGTTCCAGACACCATGGCATTTTTCAGTCCATCATCCTCTGCAAGGCAGGTGGAAGGAAGAGGCATTTTATGCTGTTTGGAGTTCAGGCTGGAATTGCAGACAAATAAATTCTTAGGAGGGTTTGTCCTTCCTCCACCTTCACTACTGTAGGTTATTTGCAGCTGGACATCTCAAACTCAGCCTCACTTGGTGAGCTGAAGAGCAGGAAGGCATTAGGTGTTTCAAGATGCAACAGGCAGGAGAAGAGGTGTGTGTTTTCATGCAAATGTAAGGATGCACTGACTTCATATTCTCCTCACTTCTTTCTCCTCTTCACTGTGCTCATCTCCTGTGTGCACATCTTTCCAAGCTGAGGAGCAAAGCTGAGGCTGGGCTGAGCTGGAATGTTTCCTGACACTGCCTGCTGACATGCTTCTCTTTCACACATGCAGAACAAAGCAGGGATGTGCCAAATAGGGAGCATTGCTGTCGTGTTGTTGTGTAAATTAAAGTAGATTAAGTCAAGAATTTATATCAATAAGGAGACTTCTGTTTCTAAACATCATGGCACCTATCAGGCAAAGTTTTCGATTTCAGATTTCAGAATGTTTATGGAAGGCTTGTGGTCCAGTGGCATTTTTTGTTGTCACTTAGCAGCTATTCCACATAGTTTTCATTCAAGATCTGTGTATATACAGACCATGAGCAAGAATCTGCAAAATTCAGTATATCAAAATAGTGAGTATTTCCCAGCAACATTTACAATATGAACATTGAAGGTTCCCTTGGCTATTGTCTGCTTTAATACAAGGTTATTCTTCATGTTCAGTTAACCTTGTAAATGTGCAATTTTGTCTCTCAGAATGACTCGTCAATGTAATTAAAATCATAAATGACAATATTTCTATATTTACTTAAACATGACACTCTAAATTTGGTTCTTTGTTAAAAATTCAGCTTTTGTCCTTGAAAATTCATTTCCTAGAAATAAACTTGCTAAGTGTAATCTGCAGTCTTGAAGTAGATGTACTGCACTTCTCAGACTGTAGAAGACCTTGACCCCATGAGGTCTGTTTTATGTGAGAAATAAATCTGTTTGGCACAATGTGTAAATTTCTCTTGGCAAGAGGATGGAATTTTTCCCTGAAAGTGAAATCACACAGAATGACTAAATTTGGATTATTTGCTATATCTGTGTTATTTATTGTAAAAGTTGTTAACAGTCCTCCAGAAGATAAGCTCATTGTCTCTCTTACATTCTATCAAACAAGCAATCTGTTTATCCTTTACTGTTTATTGCCATTGTTGATTGTGGATTCTATTTATTGACAGATAGTATAAGGCAGATAAATAACTCTGTGTTGACAGCCATGTTAATAAACATTGTAGGAATTTCTGTTAGGCAGGTTAGGGGCTGATAAAAATCTCTTGGTTTGCAGGGCAGGATTTTTGCTTTTTTGTTTCCATCCAGCTTTTTAAACTACACCTCAGCTTTGTCAGCTTCAATGCAAAACAAGATTTGGGCAAACAGGTTCAGAAATGGAGTGTAATCATTTTGCCAGGTTGGTTTCCTCTTCTCTCTCTTTCTCTCACTGCTGTGACTACTCAGGAATCACTCTTCCTTTGGAATATACATCACTTGTTTATTTTACCCACCTGTCAGCCACTGTGCAGTGTCAGGTAAAACTGATGCTGTTCCACAGCTGGAAGAAACTGGTTTGGAGTTAAAAAGCCCAAGACCTGTGCTTGTATTCTTCCTCCAGAGCAGCAGCTCCAGGTCAGCTTTAGAAATGCATTTCTTACCCAGTCGGAGCAATGCCAGTCCGCAGAGAGAAGGTTATAAAAACCTTCCATTGACAGGAACCTGAGGAGTAAATACAAGGAAATAAAAGTTGTAAGAGGAAACACTCAGGCCAGAAGAGTAAGTAAAACTGTCTGGCTTGGAATTCCGTAATACAGTGAACCACAGCCTCGGGGAGGTTAAATCTGCCTGGCAAATGCCCGTGGTCGGCTCTGTGAGCCAGTAAAGTGCATTCTGAGAATTCAGCCACTGCTGTAAAAGTGCACTGGGTGAAATGCAGCTCTTTTATTCAACAGCAGAAAATATGCAGCATTTGAGTCTCAAAATAAGTAAACTTAGAAGAATTTCTCTAGTGGAAAAAATCATAATATTGCCCCAGTTTCCAAGGATTCTCTTGCAGTTACTAAAGAAAGCCTTCCTCATCCCCTTACCTCTGCTGTGCTGGGTTTTCCATCACATGAGGGTCACATTCTGATTAGTAATATGTTAGGAGACAAGCTGATCAGATTTTCCTAATACTGCTGATTATTTTGCTTTCAGTATGAGGCATGCTATTCAAGAGAATGATTAGTGTGCATCCAAGTCACTGTGTAGAGTCTCCAGAGAGAGACCTAAGTGTTGGTTTCAAATCAGAGTTCCTCTGCTACTGAAAGCCATGATTAGTCTATTAGTCCTCACCTCAGCAGAGAATAGTGTTAGAAACATATTCTGTTAGCTTTACAGCAACAAGGACGAGTAACATAAACTAAGAGAGCTGTTAAATCAAAGACTTGTCTTAGTCACTCTCTGTGCTGCATAAAAGCTGGATAGCAGTCAAATTACTTCATTGTATGAGCATTAGTATGTCAGAAATAACTGCATGGCACAGGTGAGTACATTCTGATTATTTTTCCCATGTGTGTACTGTTTCTGTGCTCTTGAAAATATTAGTCCTGTTTATATAACAGTGTATTTTCAAACCCAAAAATGGTGTAACAGGTATAACACACACATGTCCTCCATAATGAGAAAATACATGCATGTAACAGACAAAAGAGTCTGTTCATCACAACTCTGCTTGGTGTCTTAGATATAAATTCCTCTCCTGCGGTATTTTAACTTTGTAAGCAAAGTAATCTTATTTACATAGCTGAAGTTCAGCTCTTGGTTACCTGATTGTAAATTATGAATAACTCTGAAAACACCGGACATGGTGGTGTATGATCTCAGGGACGTGCACTCGGTTTCTGTTTGGATTCATGATGGTTCTCATTTTTGAATGCATGTACATGGATTGTGTGCCTGCCCTATCACTCAGAGCTCACCTTGTTTCTCATACTTCTCCTTCTTAGTTCCTTAAGATTTGCATTATTGTTCTTTTTGTACGAGCATCATCTTTGTAATTTTCCATGTTTACTTTTCCTCTTGATGGAGCACCTTAAAGTGTAGTTTGCTCTGCTGGACTCAACATTCTGATGGCCTTTTTTCTTTCATGAAAGGGGACAGGGAAAAATAGTTTTTAAAAGATGTGTGTTTGGGTAGTACTGGGCTTCTTCCCTGAAGCGAAAAGATTCAATCCCCTGGTTACAAGTTAATTTATTTTGATTACTTCCTTCCTTACACAGTTTATAGCATAGCTGCTGAAGTCCTGGAGCACAAGTAATCACAGACACTGAGAAAAAGAGCCTTGCTGTGGCTGCATAATGTTTGGGTAGTAGAGAAAATATAAAATGGGTTTTCCATGGTTTCAGTCAGGGATTTGACTTTTTCTCCAGCATTGTAACTCAAACATCATTGAACTGTTCAGCATTTTGAGTTCCATCACTTACAAACTTCAGCTGATACAGGTTTATTTTGACCTTTTTTGAAGATGGAAATTAGTTGACTGTTACCATCCATTTCTGTGTCATTGCAGTCAACAGTTTCATAAGGAATCCTTTTTTTTTTAATTATAGTTGGATGATTTCCCATGTTATCTGCATATTATTCATCCTTCTCAGTGCATCCTGCTACAGAATGATTCCAGTCTGGTAAAACAGAATCTTAAATCCCCTCTGCGATAAGGTAGTAGTTTACATCAACATTAGCATTTTTACTTTGCTTGGGAAAAAAACACTGCTGCACATGCAAGTTATTAAAAAATAACCAACAGCTTACTAACTTGCTCTTTTTTTTTTTTAATATTTATTGATGGACACATAATCATCATGAAACATTTCATAGTAGATGTCCACGTTTGGGTATGCAAGACTCACAGAACATTTACTTTTACACCTAGATCATAAAAGTTGTTTTCCGTATCTTCACTCAAACTTAAGTACAGGCAAGAAGTATAAAAATTACCTGTCACATTATTCACAGGCTAGACCAAGGTAGTGTAATACCATGGACCACTAAGCTAATTTAGAAGAAAGATGAAAAGAGGTTTCTTTATAGAAGGCATTTGTATGTAATATATGTAGAAGAGTTTAGAATTTTGACAGTTTGAGATTGTATCCTCTTTAGAGAGAATGCATAATGATTTTTATTTCTGTTGAAATATGCATAACTTTCTGAAGGTAACTTTCAACTTTCATTAGGGCCCTTAAAAGTGATTTTCACCCAAACTGGTGTAAAACAGAGGGCACTAAATCTTAACTCTCCAGTGAATGTGGTCTCTTAGTTGTTACCATCAGCCTCTGCATCCTCCCTCCCACCCTGTTCTGCCCTCTTTTCTTCCCTTTTATCACTCTTTGGGGAAACTTACTGCAGGTTCTTCACTTCAGTATTTACATGCTTAGACTGACACATCATGCACTTCTCTCAAAAGAACTCAAAAGCTTTCCA